ACGCGAAAAGAAAACTATGTCGCTCGGCAAATCCTCCCTGCCATGGGAACTCATGGCACAAACAACAATGGATGACACCCTGCTTCAATTCAGCAAGCTAAACTGCTCTTGCAAGCCATCTCAAGATCGTCACGCCTAGAACCTGATTGAAACCATGATCGACTGATGGTTTAACCTTTGGAAAAAATAAATACCCAAAACAGCTAACGTGAAGCAGCAAATTCCGATAACCCACAAAGCTCGTTTACTTCGAAGACAACGCGTCGCTTAGTTTTGGGGCGCGGGATTATTCTCGTTTTCACAGCCGCCGTCAATTCGAGATCACCCACTCAAGTTCTGCAGCCATGTATGCAAACTTGGCTCTGTGGGGCCCAATCCCAAGGTGTGCATGTAGTCACTCTTGCCTTTTGGGAGTGTTCGAAAACTTTGGCTCAATGTTCTGCTCCTTGGGGTGCCCTCATATGCCATTGTGTTAACCTTGTAAGGGCAAAGATTTGTTGAATTCGTTTTCAAGCAATCAACACCTAAGCGAAACAACATCAAACAGCGCATTCCCTGCACCACTCACTGTAATCCTATGGGAGCCCTTGCGAGAAGCTGGTGCCATCTGGCAACGATGGTTTTCAACTTGCTCAAAACGAGCTGAGGGAGGTTTACACCAGGCGAGGTGTTGAAACGCCTGCTCGTCTGGCCCTTCTCGTGAATCAGAGCTTCTGAAGACAGTCGTTTTCAGCTCATGACGATGGTGCTGGACAAAAACACCTCTCATGAAAACACCTCTTGAAGGATGGTGCTTCCCTGCCTGTCTCAAGGAGAGCAGCCAGTTGGCACCAGACCACCCCGCGACCCAAAAAATGCGGTCAAAAATCTGAAGGCGAGGTCTTGACCATCTCCAAGGCTTCCCGAATCATCGGCTGATACTCCACGGGTCCTGATGCAGGTTGAGGATGATAAGCTCAAACCATGCGTAGCACAGTTGCTGAACTCTACAAGCCAAGAAGTCATTGGGTCCTTTTGGCTCCAGGCCACATGACGCCCACACAATGGCCTTGGCAACTAATCCGCTTCTGCATTGCGGCTTTACAACCTGCTGGGGTGGCAGTTACATGCGTGGTTTCCCGAGGTCAAAGCTCAGCATCTGGCTTTTGGCTGGAAGTCGTCCAGCCGAGTTGCCAGCTCGGGCCTCATTGCGCTTTAAAAGGTCAGAAGTGCACTGGGTAAACAGCAGTCTTCTCCTGTTCAGGCTCCCTCGGCAGCGAAGCTGCAAAAGCCATCCTTGAGTTTCGTGGGTTATCTCTCCACATCCCACATCCTGTTCCTGTTCTTGTTCCCCCTGCGCTTTTGTGCACAACCCTGGATGGAAATCGAGCAGCTTACCGTATGCTGGATGAGAGGAAAACCAAGTTTCTTGGTTTTCAAGTCCATCAGAACATGGCCTCGAGCCCGTGCCCCCGATGGCAAACGGGAGCCAGCTGCTGATCTCTCTCCCCTGTACCGGTAATCTTCATACCTCAAGGGGTGGGGGGACGCTTAGAAGGGATCCCGCATCACCCAATCCCAAGATGAGCGAAATGTACCCCTGCATAACCAGGTTGTCCCCGTACAAGCTTTTCAATTTAAGGCCCTAGAATACCAAAGTTTGTGCTCTGCTGCACCCCGCATGTGTGCCAGCTACACCGAGCACAATGGGTGGTCACCTTTGTCTGCATGGGCCGTGCCCGACAGCTACACTCGCATATGCGAGTGACTGCTCTGCGTGCAAGCTGACCGTCTCAGCAAGCACTGATCGGCCCTTGGCGTTTGCTGCTGCCTTACCTTCTAGGGCAACAGCAGCACCAGCAGCATTGCCGGTGTCAAGCCATCATGGGCAAGATAACTGGGCTGACAAGTCAAAGGTCGGCCAGATCCGGAACTCTCGCTGCAGTCGTATCTCAGGAGGCCGATGTAGTTGCGCGATTGTCCCTTCTCTTTTTGTGGCAGCTGGACTTGCTGAGTCCTCGTGTACTGCAAACACTGGAGCGACTTGATTCCGACCTTAAGGACCTGAAGCTGGAGTACTCTGTGGCTTCATCTGTGTCTGTGCGTGTAGATCTACTCTCTCTGATAGAGCTGATTACTCTTCTCGCAGGGCCTGCAGTAGCAAGGGCCACCAAACCTACCATGGTCGCATGCTGCATTTGCGACTAAGCAGCCCTGCAAAGCCACCGAAGACCACCGAGTGAGGAGCCCCCAAACGGGCGCAGGCAAGCATCGCGAACACGGCCTGATGCTCATGGGTCTAGTGCATGTGTGTGTGTGCATCTTATGACGGTGACCGTGGATCACAGCCTTGTCCTGGTTTGTGCTGTGTGCAATGTCCGCTTGCTTCGCAGGAGCTTGTGCTGTAAATGCACAACTGCTACCCGCGCACCAGTGCTCCTCTGCAGCTTTTTCAGGTTTGGCCCTGCCTCTGGAATCATTGGCATGTAGATGATCACCTGGGACTTGTGGCTGGGGGTTCCAGCTGATGACGGACACTGCTTGCTGCTCACGGCCCTGGTACTTTGCTTGGCGTGAAAGTCAGGTGCTCGTCTTGAGATCCTGACACACGTTTGAGTTACACGGACCGTGAGCGAGGCCGCATGTAGTATTGTAGTTGGTGTCCCATCCGCTAGAACTATGAATTCTGTATTCATTTACCTGTCAACCCTTGGCATCATAATGAGAATGCTACACAACCTCGGCCGCCTGAGTCTACCCCCAACATTTTGCATATCAGTGCACCGGAAGTCCCAAGTCCATCTTCATGAGACATGCGCACGCTAAAGAATGTAGCAACACCCCTTGGCATATGGATGCTGTTCTAAATTCCAGTATCGGTGCCCCAGAGTTAGGGCATGTTAGGACTTCCTTGCGCCCACCGTTGTGTCGTCTTGCGCGACCGCAGGAATTTAAACGCACCTCAGCAAGTTGTATACATGTAGGCATGACGAGCACTAATGAGGAACCGAGCTTGGACGCGCATGAAATTTGCAAAACCCCGATGCTGCCCTTTGTCTTGCTACAATGGGCAGGGGCTCAGAACGGCATCCATATTCGAGCCTCTAAACCACACATGTGCATGCGGAAGTCTGTAACTGAACAGGCTAATCAGCATACAAGCCGGAATTAAAAAGTCATCCCTGCGGTGAGGAATCAAGATTGCAGAAATGCTGGACTGTCAGTGCAGCGCGAGTTGCTCGGTCGCCTTTGCCAATGCCCAACTTTGAAAGTGCACCAGCAGTTCTGCTTACCTCCAACGGCAGATGAACATGGTCAAATTTCATATTGATAAATGTCTTGCCCAGGATCACTGTAGGCGGTGCAACCCTGCATGGCCTCCGTCTGAAGCTCGCTGTAACTGTACGTCTTCTTGACCTGGCAGTGTTAAAGCCGGTCGTCCCTGTGGGGTCCACAGTTCGGGCTCTGATTGGGGTCTGCTTCATACCTGGCAGCGCTGCTGCGCCTTGCTTGGAGGCGACAAACAGGATAAGTGATCCGGTTCATCAGTTTCTCTACTGAGACCCTCTTATTATTATTGATGTTATTAGTACTATTGCAGTTGTTACGATTATTACTTCTACTATCCCTAAAGGCTATGTTGATCCACGCTGCGCCAGCCAGAGGCGAGTCATAGATCAACGCTCTCTGGTCGCCATGGCCTTGCTTGGCGGTTGACTTGCGCTTTGCTGGGAACTTTCAAGTCATGCCATGCGCCTGTATATACAGTTTGGGAAGATTTTGGACAGGAAGCAGCCTGCTCGAAGTGATTCCGTAAGAAATTTGAAGCTTTGCAGGTGTGCCTGGTCCTAGACTTCTGCATGAACTTCTGGGCCGCTAGGCACCATTTCGGGTTTCTTTCTTTTGCTGGCACGCGGCCAGCATTCACATGTCGGTCGATGGCGTTGTAGCACATGTTGAGCTGAGCTCCTGATAAAGGAAAACTTGCCGGGTGCTCGGCTTTTGCGGGTCCGTGAAAGTCAAAAACGGAGAGATTAGAACTAGCGGGGCAGTTGTTCGCCAAAGCCGGAGTTGTGCGTGCATCAGGTCACAAGCACTTACATCTGGAGATCAGCAGTCAGATCAAGCAAGCAGCTCGGACCTGAAAACCACCGATAAAATGGCGGATTTGCATGATCCAGCACCTGGGACAGGTGCAATGCCAACTTGTGTTAGCCAAAACTTGACACGTGCTCTGTTTCAGGACAGTGCCAAGAGGCTGCAGTCCAGGGTTTGGTCCAGGAAACTCCGGCTGCCGCACGCGACCAGAATCCTTTAAACAAATGTGCTCGACCCAGCACAAACAAAGCTGGTGTGCTCGGCTGTTCTTTTTCTTCTTTGCTACAACACCCTGCGGTGCTTGTAGCCGATGAGCCAGCAAGGATTCGACGCATCAGAGAGCTTGCAGGCCCACCTTCAGGATCTGTGATGGACTCATGATGCAGCTTGTTGTAGCTGTTTCTGGAAATATGCCTGGCCAAGACGAACAGCAACCAGCAGGAATTGTTCGAAGTGCACCCGAAATACACTTCACACCTCAACGCAAGCCACAGACCTCACAGAATTGAAAACGACCAGTGGGCGTCCGAGCAGGTTCTGCTTTGCCTAAGGTCACTGGAGATAGCACTCAACAACGCTGTAAGCTACGCCGCTTGCTGATCGTTTCAACACAGCTGTCCTTGCTGCAAAGCAGCAAGGCTTTGCTGCAAACGGCAGTGCAAACGGCAGGGTACCAGCATGGCAACCAAGGGCCAGCGAAGAGGCAGTAAGCAACTCACTTCTGGATGGGCAACCTACCCTTACCCATCTCACTAGCACTCTCACACGCTGCAGTCTTAGGGAGCATTTGAGACTCGGTCTGCGTCTGAACTGTGAGCCGAAGGCAAGCTCTGCAAGAACCAGGCAAATTCAACTCCATCACGACTTCTTCATGTGCTGGCTTTCTTATTTTGGCAAAAGATTCTCACTTCACACATGCTGGCCTGGACAAAGTTGGCAGGATCCTTTGCAAAAGCAAGGGTCCCGCATTCAGACAGAGCTATTTAGTGGGGAAAACTGACTGATCTGAGTGAGTTACTACTCGTGGCTGGACAGATCTACTGATGCCTTTCCAGAGCGGACTTTCCAAGATGGCTGCTATCACTGTGCCCAGTGCCGAGATGCAATATTGCATACGAGGTAGCGCATCCGTAAGCATCTCATGAATCTAATGCGTCCAAGTGTCTCGAAGCAGTTGGGAGGTAAGGAGGTCTTCGGGGCCTGGGTCTTGGATATATTTGACTTGCAAACGATTCAGCTGAAACCCAGCTACGTACAAACGGGTTATGCTGGCTGGGCAGAATGCCTTCACCTTGTTGGGTGTAAAGGCCTTGCACTAGATAGTGCTCCAAGCTTGATTGGCCACGGTGCTTAGCCGCTGTGCCAGGGCCAAAGTCCGCAGTGCTTCAGAAGCCAAGCTGGCGAAACTGGCACGGATGGCCTCCGAGCGCTCCGGCTGGGCAGCACCATGCATGTACGCATGTACAGGTATATCTGTTGATGCTAGTCGCACCTTGGCACTAGCACGCTCTACCATCTCTTGACTTCAAGAGCGCCTGTCGCCCAGCTGGGGAGAGCGTTTCCACAGAACCATTGGGCAGAAGAATGCCTGAGCATCAAAAAAACTGATGCCTTCTGTCACACCACGTTTAGTTGCCCCAAGAAAGAAAGCCAATGAAGAGCTGTGTGTTGAAATGTGGTGCATCGAGCCTACCGCTGAAGCCTGTGGTTGCCGTCAGGCGGCTAGTGCAGCGCTCCAGAATACTCTCCGGAGCTCCTTTCACGTAAAGCATGCCGCCCGAAGCCTTGCAAAATTTGAGCATCATCGCTCTACCCTTGCAACATACATGAGCTCTTTGCCCGCCCAATGAGACAACTTGCTGAGGGTTGCTCCGACAGGAAGCAAGGGGCGGTTCTCCGAGGTTTGGATGTGGGATAAGGGAGATCTCAGAGCTGCTTCATCTGGACCCCTCTACAGTAACATGTAGGCCCGCATTGCCAGCTTTGCAGCTGTTTCTTGAGTCATGTCTCCAAGCTGACTCCGTCATGATTGCATTAGCAGCCACACCTCCCCACCTGGGTAAGTACTGGCCATATGACATAAAAAGTTTGACGAGCCCTGAGATGCGGCCAAAAAAGCAAGAGCTGCCTCTGCGCAAAACACGCTCATGGACTTCCGGTCGCGCGTGAACTCGAGGGTTGCCTTCTTAAGAAGGCTTGATGTCCAGTACCTCTCAGTGGACAGGTTTTGTTCAGTTGATGCGAGCCTCTTTTCAAGGCAGCTGCGCTAAGGGCTGGCGGAGATAAAGATCTCCGCAGAAAACTTGTCCAAGCTTTTTTTTGCATAAGCTCACGTCTCTGGCCAGGCAAGAAAGCAGGAAGTGATAATGCCTTTGTTTACTCCCCTGCGTTTCAGTTTGTGCACGCACTCTGTGGCTGCACCACGAATTGAATTTCCATTAATACTGTACCGCACTGAGCTAGCCAAAATCTCAGAGTTCGTCTTTGGGCGGCAGCATCTTCTTAACGCAGTCACAAACAGTCTTTGTCTCACCGGTCTTCTCATCCTTGTCTTCCCGATAGCCTCAGTTTTCCATGCTGAAGACAATGCCAAAAATGCAGATGCCTTGCTGATCTGAGCCTGTGGCGCAGAATCGGGAACTCATCATTTGGGCAGGAATGCGTCTGGCCGTCCATGTCCCAACAGGGATGAGCTCTGCAGAAGCACTCCTGCTGCCCCCGACTTCTGCTCCCCATTTGTCATGCTATGTCGCTCTAGTTTACTCTGATGTCGTGATTGACTACGCTCCATGGAGCAGCGGTAACCATCATCTGTCCTTTGTTTCCTGGCTTTGCAGCATGACGGGTCTAAAGAACTACATGTCCTCCATTGTTGCCGGTCACGCGAAAACTGCGGCCAGCACGAAATCCGAGTCTGAGGTGAATACTTACCCACCCTGGCCACTAGCTCAGCAAACCAGTACAAAACTGCCCCACCCTCACGTCTGGGAGCACGAATGATATGGAATGATGTTGGGTACGTCAAAAACTCGTTGGACACCTCACCGATGTCGCTTTAGCTTCAACAGACTCAGAATCAGTAGTTTCCAGCATAATCGCCACGACAGCAAGACACCTGAGACACCTGGAGAGAGCCCCTCGGCACGGAGCCAAAAATGAGAAACAACATCACAAAAAACCTTGTGAACCCAAGAATTTGCTTGCTGAGGAAGAGGATCTCTCTGAGGGGTGTTGCTTTAAGCAGTCTTTTTTGGGCGGCGCCAACATCTTACCATCTTTTGCTTTCAACGTGAAGTGAGATTCTTAGCTGACAAAATGGCTTAGGGCCAGGATCTGGGATGACCCTGAGGCTGTTGGCCATCAGATATGGAATCAGGTCTACTCTAGTTGAGCACTTGTTGACACGGAGGGGCTAGACAAGAGCAAGCTGTCCTTGGTGTCAGCATTGTAGTCCAGGATTGGGAACTTGTCATCTCGGCAGAACTGGTCTTTGCAGAGGTGCTTGCTGAGGTAGACCTGCAGCTCCAAACAGCTGAGCTGCAGACTGTGCAGTCGCAAGTTGCTTTCCAACACGGACTTTAGCACGGTGCAAAGTAGCTGCGGCCAAGCTGCGGATTGAAAGAAAGGATGTGTTGCGCACTCGCACTTGAGCTTGTCATCCTGACACGGCAATTTTGAAATGGAAATGGTGCACAAGGCTTCAGGACCTCTATGCATACCTCAACTGGAATCCTGTGCTAACCTTCTCGCCTTGTCATAATGGAACACGAGGTAGGGCATTGCCGAATCGGGGCAGCTGTGTTCTACCCCGCTATCATCCCAGCAAGGGTGGGATCGGCAAACGCACTTCCTGGGCCGGTCGAGGCTGATGCCTAGCTTACACGGGCCTGTTTGAAGCTACATAAACATGGACTTGATCCTGTCTGAGCTGCTTCTGGTCTGGATCATAGTCCAACATTGGATGGTTCGGAGACTCGCAGATTTGGCCGCGGCACAATGACTCCAGGTAAAGGGAACTTGCGGATGCCCCCAGCAGCATTTGTAATATGAAAGCGGCAAAGAAAGCCATGAGCGCGGTACGCTTCTGATGGGAGTCCTTCTAACAACTTCTGCCCTGCAAGCCCCAATCTGCGACAGCATCCCAGAAAGCAAGAACATGGAAACACACAGAGACAAGGCTAGTTGACGCAGTCAGCACGTGTCACAGCTAAGTTTGCAACGTTGCCTACGTTTGTCCAAAGTTTCTGCTGCTTTGGAGAAAGAAGCTTTGCCCATCTCATCTTTTGTCTAATGCCGGATCTCACTTCTCTACTGGGTGGCTCACGCTCAGCTTCCGTGCTTGCATGCTGTTGGCAATGCTTCTATGCGCTGTCCAGCACCTCCTTGGGGTTTCTCCATGCTGGTCCATGCTGGATGCAAGGTCCTCTGCATCACTCGGCGTCTTGACGACGTGCCACGCTTGTGGTGTTTTTGAGAGGCCACACTGGCGGCCGCACTGACTGGAACGGCTTTGCATCTTTCAGGAGCATGAAGCTAAAAGTTAGGGGTATATGACTTCCACATACTCCGGCAGCTTGGTTTCCCTTCGAAATCTAAAGCCTCCGCCATACATCAGCTGAATGATCCAACCCGCGAAGCACACATGTCGACGCGTGGCCTTCTAAAAGAGTGGCCCCTGCTCGAGAACTTCTCCCAAACATCGGCGGTATCCCAAGAAGTCTATATGTCAGCAAGGGCTTTTCAAAGCTTTTGGGCTAGTATGCTGCAGTTATTGATGATCTTAGACTTCGGACTTGGCTGCTTAGCGTTGACAGCTATCTTGCCCAGGGCACTTGCAGAAGGCCATTGCATCTCCGCGGTCGCGTGGTCTCTGCCAGCACCGCCCTGACAAAACAGAGTTGTATCTGCACGTGCTCTACTTGCTCAATAGCAAGATCAAAGTTAGGGAAGGGCTGCGACACGTAAAAGGCAGGTCAGATCTCATCAAGCAAAGTGGCCGTGTAGCACCGGGTCTGGTACGCCGAGCTTTTCCACAAGAGTCAGCAAAGCTGCCTGCCACATTATGACACGCGCATGACACATGAGGTAGCTGGCCACGGAGAAGCCAAAACAGCAGGGGCTTGCCTCGGTGGGCTCACCCATTCTGCGGAAGGACCCCGCTTCAACTTCCAACCTGCGGACCAAGGCGTGCCACAGGATGCAGATGCAAGTGCCAAGTGGCCAAGCGTGCCGAGTGCCTGGAATCGTTGCAGACCGCTGCGATCTTCGCAAAGGCCTGCAGGTTGCTCTGCTTCTGCCAATCCTCACAGGTCTGGGCAGTACGCTGAGATTGCTCACGCTGAGCGGTTTCTGGGCAAGGTTGCGATCAGTCATACTGCAGCTACGAGGCGACCTCAGCCAAACCCTGGACCAGCCCCATCGGCGCATAGCTGTGGCCCTCCACAACGTACGTACCCATCTGCAAGCCTGCGCGGCGCTTGTGATTTCCTGCACAATGGTTTCACCTGGACTGAGTGCGTTGAATCCTAGCCATCAGCATGCAACAGCCGGCTCACGCGCGAAAGCCCATGCGACAATGCGCTTGACACTCCACAGTTCCCATTTCCAAGCTATGCCCAGAAGCCCCAAAGCCAATCAACCAGAAATAGAGCACGGCAAATGCAACACAGAAGCTCGACATAGGAAGAACCAATCGTGTGCAGCACATTTCCTGAGCCAGTGGCTACTGCTTTTTATGAGCCACTGCTGGGGTCTAAATTGCATTTGCCTGGTCTTGCAACCATGCAGGGTACATGCCACCCAGCAGGACACAGCATATCTCAACATGCATCCGTGGCACGTTTGTAGTGAGCGTGCCAGTCTTGTCCGAACAAATAACCTGGGACCGCACTGACCCAGCTCGGATTACTTATTGTACGTATACTGAGCATGCCCGACATGAAGCCTACTTGTAAACATTCGTCGGCTGGTAACTAACATTTGGGAAATGTTTGCCACTGCAGCACTGCACGATTTGGCTTGAAATCGGTATGGGTTGTACCGTGCTCTCCATGCCCTTGCTCGTAGTTCGCCGCTTGGCAGCAGAAGTGCAGCCCAACGTTTCCACTGAAGGCAGTCTGCGCACAATGGCGTTCCTCACGCAGGACTCATAGACACTAGTGCTTGCAAGGATATCCCAAAAAAGGCAAAGGACTAATACAAGGCCATGCAGTGAAAGGACACAGGCTTGCAGAAGTTTGCATTGACAGTGGCTGCAGCATGTACCTACAACAGAAAAGAGGTCTGATCAATCAAGGATCTTCTTGGCCATCTCGCTTGTGCCTGGCTGTCAGAAGGAACCAGATAGATACCAAAGAGCAAACGAATGGTTGCAGTCTTCAGATGAGCATCGGTCAAAACTACTTACATCCAGTAATGGACGCCGGTATGGGGGGTGTCGCTTCTTAATGT